ACCCAATTTATTTTGCCCATATTTGTGTTTGCTCATATGCTGAGTAATAATTACCCATCACCACTTACCGAATTTTACTTTGCTCAATTTTTGTTTGCTCATACATTGGGTACTATTTGACCAACGCCTGTTACCCAATTTCACTTTGCGCCTTTTTTTGTTTGCTTATATAGGGTAGTAATTGACCACCGCCTTTTACCAAATATATTTAGCTCAATTTTCTTTAGCTCACAATATGCTGTGTAAATATTGCTATGAAAAATTGAAATTATCTCTCCTGTAATTGTAACCATTTACTTCTATTTTAAAATTATAATAACAGAGTGTTGAAGCGACGATGAATTTGTGCGAGTTTGATGCTGAAAGAGTCCAAGATTTATCTTTTGTGAAAACTGAGCCATCTTAACCATGTAGGCCTATAGAGTTACATAATCTACGTAAGTAATGATCATGGAACGTACACGCTATCATCGTCAATTACGCGCATGCGTAAATGGCAGTGGAAACCTTCGATGGGGACTAGACTTACGTTTAACCAGACTTGGGTAAAGTTTGCCTGGTATTGGTCTTGGGGTAGCGCGCACATGGCCTGGTCGCTCGCGCGCGATCAGCATGCCATGCGCAGTACTATTTCTATTTACTCGGTATAGCCGGCGCGGCCGTCCCGGCCCGGGAGCTCGAGCTATATGATACACCAACGTAACTAGCAGCCTGTACGTACGTACGTATACGCATCATATCGGAGTCTTGCATGCTAGAGCCTGAGGGTCTAAAAATGGAGCTCGACAACTGCTGCGGAGATAGTTCAAGTGAAGATGGGTTCATAGACCCTCTCACCAAAATCGTTCAAAGGTGGGGATGTCCGTCAGTGTTAAAGATACTAGAAGGTACGTTCACATCTTATTGAGATTAGAAGTTTAGAACATGATCAACAGGTACTTGCTGTAGACTTGTTCCCATATCCATAACACATGGGCAACATGTAGACTAGTTCTATATGCCTCAGCAATGGTTAATGCATACGCTTCAATTCAATTGGTCTATTAAACTTTGCCTCAAATTTTCTCTTTTAATGCATGTGTTACTAATCCAAACTAATATTTGATTGATATAAATTCAAATTGTACTGTTTCCATGAATTTTAGATCACAAATGAATATTTAAAAATATTTTGTTCAAGATTTTACAAAACCCAAAGGCCAAAACCCGGATTTCTGTGCTGTTTCCTGCTACAATACATACATAACACAATACCCTCCATTTTCTATGGATCATGGGTTGTATGGGGTCCAATCACAGAACTCTTAAATACGTATTTAAGAGTTCTGTGGGTCCAATACATTGGACCACATACTTGTAGGTGTGTACCCAGATAGTATTACAGTACGTGGGACTGGTGTAATTTTGAACAATTATCTCTGTTATCTGAAATTGGTATTACTATACTAGATCTAGTCTAGGTCTAGATCTAGATCTAGGCCTACTTATATTTAATAATCAACACTGAACTGAATGATTCATCAGAAAATTGAAGTTGTCAAATAATGTACAATTTTATGAACATTATTTTGTGGAAGATCATCTTTCATTTTCCTGTAGATCTAGAAGTCTAGATTTCAAAAAGTGAGACAATTTTTCTTGCCCATTGCCATGTTAAGGATTTTGCCTTTTCATTTTCTACAGGACTTTGAAATCCAAACACTCTAAAAAAATGTTGGGCAAGTGCCCAATTTTTACCCAACATGAGGGCACTTATGTGTCCGACTAACTATTGGGTAAATTAAAGATTTTGCATGATTTACCCAGTGTTGGATGAAAAGAAAATACCCAACTTTTAACCAACAAAATTTACCCCAATAGGAAATTCACCCAATTCTCACCATAATGTGTAGTATATTCGACACTAGTTGGGCAAATTATTTCATCAGTAACTACATGGTTGGTAGAAAATAACCCAATTATTGGACAAAAATGACCAACTTTAATTTGCCCAAAAATATTACCCAATTATTTCATCGGTAACTACATGGTTGGTAGAAAATAACCCAATTGTTGGACAAAATTTGCCCAACATCAGTTTTACCAAGTAACACCTACCCAACTTATTTCTGACCTTTTATTAGGTAACTTCATACAGTAAATGGTTGGGAGAAATTATTTGACAAAAACGCGCCAAACTTTGATTTGCCCAGTAACATCTGCCTAACTTTGTTTTACAGAGCATAGACTCTACATCCTCTTGGTTTTAAATGGGGCTATTAATTATGTGCTATTGCGATATTCCTTGTCACAACTAAAAGGCAGTTGACCCACATTTTAGCCCATATTAATAGCCTAATTCAAAACCAAGAGGCTGTGGTGGTTTTCGAAATTGCAGTGACCTCGCTGTAGTACACGAATGGGCACAATTTTTAACATGGGTACATTTTTTCTCATTTAAAAAAATCTTTTTCTGAAAATAATTTTTAAATATGGAAAAATTACAGATGCTTAAGCCACCAAATTATGCCCACAAAATTGTACACTATTTTACTACATGTCCAGATTTCAATGAAATCATTAGAACCGATGGACGGATTACCATCCAAACTTGGGACATGTACATGTATCTTGCAAGTTGCAAAGCCAACGAACTGATTCGATTTTGGGATGGAGGTGCACATGGAGGAAGGACATTCGTTAGTACAGGATTAACTGTCCTATTTTGCTTCATATCAGTGAAATGTTCCAGCACATGCATTTTTTTTAATGTTTCACACCACTGAACAATAAGCTGTACAAAAGAATTATTAAACACCACAAATTATCTTTTCTAGGATAAACAATTGTCAGTTGCCTCTATTCAAGGTAACACACTATAATTTATATATGGTTGTATGGTACTGTAAGTGGCCTGTGAAAGGCTTGAGTGCTAGACTTTTTGAGAAACCCTGGTCAGATATAGCTAGGTTATTTGTCATACTAAAGCTGAGAAACATGGCTACTAATGCAGACAATATCATGGCAGCCGCAAAAGGTTGAAAAAAACAATTACCGGTATGGCAGTTTAAAGTTGAAGTAATAGGCATGACAGTGCACATGGAGAAGACACATATGATTATCAATGAATTAGTAATGTTAATTAACCAATCAGCATACATTGACCTCTATGCTAACTCTCAAATCATTCTGATTCATTTGGTAAGTTGAATGACTTTCTTTGAAATCAAATTCATTGCTGATGCAACTAATCTTTATACTTTAAATAGGCCCCTACATTGTTAAAAATAAGGCACAATTTGACTAAACTAAGGTGATTACTAGTATGACTTTAGAAAAGGTTTCCATTCTTAATTTGATTGTGTGGATGTTAATAACATCACCTGAAAATAAATAGCAATTAGTTGATACAATTCGCTAGTATGATCTAAAAGTAAGTTTTCTATACGAAGACCAAATTTTCGAGAAAATCGCATTTGAAAATTCAGATTTTCATAGACCCTTGTGGAATAAGAAAACATTGATTATGCGATTTATTCAAAATGAAAGATAGTTTAGCTGGAACATGAGCAAATGTTTACAGCTTATCATTATCTAAAACATATACTTTTGTTTAATTTGCGCAACCATACGTGTGTTTGTGGTATTATATAAAAACAATCAGTTTATGCTGCACTAAGCCTTATTTATCAATCTCTCCCTCTTCTTCTCCAGAAAATGAAGTTGATGTGGAAACCCTTCCCCTTCTAAGTGAAAGTATAATCACATCCTTCATACCCAAGATTGGACCTCGATTGAAGTTTCTCGCTGGGTGGCGTGCAGAGGTAGGCCCTAGATGTGGCACAATATCTCACTATGGATAGTTACAGATGCTTTCAGTGTCTTGATTTAATTAGGGGGGATATTTCTTGCCTATTCCATCATTTAAAATACACACATACAACAACCAGGGGAAAAAATGTAAGTATAACATGCATGCAAGGGGCATGTAGACTAACATTTCGTACATTATCGGGATATAGAAAACATCTCATTTCAAAGCACGCTGCACGGATAAAGACGTCAAGCACAACTACAAAAGCAGTTCCAGATCACCAAAGTGAAACCTGTTATGAAGGATCTGTTCTAGGAAAGAATAACAACACTGAAGGGAATTTGGAACAACTGCACCAGGAAAAGGCATTGTTTGTTGGAGAAAGCAGTGAGCAGGAAGATGTCTCTTTTGAAACGCAAACAGAGAGACTACCTGATATTGCAGCAAAGTTTGTAGCAGAACTCAGGGCAAGGACTAATGTGCCTGCTTCACACACCAACAAGGTCATTCAAACCGCACAAGATTTGGTTATTTCTGTGTTACAAACTGTGCAACAGGATGTGATGGATATCTTAAGTGAGCCACAATATGCAGCTAACAGTGAGCTGAGATCTGATATACAAGATGTATTCGAGAATTCAAAGAATCCATTTTCAGAGCTCATGTCAGATACTCAACAGAAAAAATATTTCTCTGAGAAAGGTGATTTCATTCAGCCTTGTGAGGTGTTGTTGGGAACTTGCTTAAAACCAAAAATTGATCAAAAGACAGGTGATCCACTGCAAAGCACACAAAAAGAAACCTTTCAATATATACCACTAGCTGACACTAGCGACCAGGAGTAATGAACGCCATACTGTCTCAAAAAGGATCAAAAGATAATGATGTTTTGTATTCATTCAAAGATGGTCACTATTATAAAAGGCAGGAAGCTACTGCTAGACAAGACTGTGAATTCTTAGTGCCTCTGTTGTTGTACAATGATGAGTTTGAGACAGCCAATCCGCTTGGGTCAAAACGCGGCAAACACAAGGTAAGTGCCTTTTATACAAGTGTGTTATCCCTTCCCAGGAAATACCAGGCTAGGCTGGAAAATATCATGCTCACAGCTATGATCACATCTCCGCTTTTGAGTAAATATGGCATCTCAGAAGTTTTGAAGGTAATCAAGGATGATCTGCAGCAGATGTGGACTGATGGACTCGCTATCAAGTGCAAAGAGTTTGAGGGTAGGGTCAAACCCTACTTATTCCAAGTTGTAGGGGACAATCTTGGCATTCATGCCATGCTGGGATGTACAACCTGTTTCCGTGCCAACTATTACTGTAGATTCTGTAGAGGCCATCGCTCGTTGCTTCAGAAACAGCCAAAAGAGGATGCCCAATATCTCCGTGATGAAATAAACTATGATACAGATCTTCAAAAGCCCTTGTCAGAATCTGGCTTGAAGCATGCAACAGTTTTGAATGAATTGCCTTACTACCATTCCACCCAAAACTTATGTCCAGATGTAATGCATGATTTTACAGAGGGAGTCTTGCCCCTGGAAATGCACCTTGTTTTGAGTAAACTTGTTCAGAAGGGTTTCATAACACTGGATGAGGTGAACAGTAGAATATCCTCATTCAATTTTGGCTTTGTGGACCGCAAAAACAGACCAAGCCCAATCAGGCAGGCATCACTGAAGAATCCATATTCTGCCAGTGGACAGACATCAGCACAGATGACGTGCCTTGCATACAACATCCCTCTCATGTTAGGAGACAAGATTGATGAGATGTGTGATGAGTGGGAACTCTTACTGTCAATCATTGACATCTTCAAAATCATTATGAGTCCCAGTATCAGTAAGTCTGCCATCTATGTCCTGAAGGCAATGATTGATGATCACCACAGGCTCTTCATGCAGCTCTTCCCTGAAGCTAGTCTAACTCCGAAGCAGCACTTTCTTGTGCATTACCCACGTGCACTGAAACACCTTGGGCCACTGACCCAGTATTCAGCATTGCGTTTTGAAGCAATGCACAGACCTTTCAAGCAGATTGCCAGTGTATCTTGCAACTACCAAAACATTGTCAAAACATTGGCTAACAGATACCAAATGGCACGGTGCTACAGGTCAGTATCAAATCAGTCACTGGATAGCCAAGATATCAATGTGTCACAGCAAGCTGCAGCAATGCTTGGTGATCTACTTGATGATGAGGCACTTTGCAAAAAAATTAACTGTGGAAGGGGAACCGAAGTTACAGTTGCTGGGAAAGTGGACATTCATGGATATGAGTTCCGGGCAGGTGTTGATGTACTTCTATATTGGACTGATGATGATGGACCCACGTTTGGACGTGTTCAGCATATTGTAGTGGTGCAAGAAAAGTTGTATCTGCTCCTTCGGCTGTATCAGACCTTGTACTTCAACAGACACGTTGAAGCATTTGCAGTACAGGTGGGCAGAGAGGAAGCACAAGCTGCTGTTGAATGGTGTGACCTGTTTGATCACAGGCCAGTCAATGCTGTCCAGTCCTATAGTGGAAGAGGGCGCTGCTTGTATATTGTGGTGCACCATTCATTCATCTAGGAACAAGAAGGTACGTGTAGGCAACCCGTTGCAAGCAAGTGATATATTTTTACAACTAGACATTACAGATGCACTTGCAAATTTTGTCTTAGAGAACAGAACCAAAACAAAGCAAAAGAAAGAAACTGTTATTCCAATTACAATTATATCTATGAATCAGTTCTTAGTGTATCATTCTACACATTTTGATTGAAAAAATAGCTAAGAAGCTAACCTTGATCGATCTGTACTGACTTGCTAACAAATTTTGATTATTCCAATGAAAATTTTACAGTAAATATCTGGTTTGAATTTTTTAACTCGTTATTAACTTCATTGTTTCTGTATCTGAAAATGTGTCTGTTATATTTGCATTCATTCATATTATGTTGTAATTTCTTAAATGTACCATGACTCATGCCAAGTTTTTCTAGCATATGTACTTCATTGAGGCCCCGGAAATGTGCTATTTTTTACCAATGCATGTTCCTGCCTAAAGTGAAAGTTCCTAACTGGATATTATTATATTATAGATGTACTGAAGAAGCTTCGGCTCATGAGTGACCACTTTTCAATTATGGGTTTGCTTTAAATAGGACAAGGGTACAGAAACAGTGAGAATGATTTTCCCCTTCAAGGAATAAACTTGATACTAAAGTCTAACCTGGGGCTGTTTGTGTCATTAATAATGTAAAAAATAATCAGTCATTTACATGTACATTGAAAGTTCAATAATTTTTCATTTATTTATTGTAGTATCATGCTGCAAATCAACAAAGCATGGAACAAGCATCATCGTCGACAAGAAGCCCATCAGTGTTCTCCTTAGATGACTGCTCAGATCTCTCTTGTGTAACAGGAAGTGAGTGGAGTCCCAGACAAAGCCCTTCCCAGCCCAGTTTGGATACGCCACTTTACGACTCCCCAGAATCCAAGAGTCCTGATCAACATCCTCCCCTGAAACGGGTCAAGAAAGTGCATTTCGTAAGTTTATGTATATAGTGGGCTGATACAATTGAAGAGTGGGCATGTCGAGTCACCATCATTCATCAGTTTTTATGCCTCCAACACATAAGGGTGCCGGAGGCATTATGTCTTGGAGTTATCTGTCTGTCAGTATTTCTGACAAGCAGGTCAGGTCAGTTCAAAGGTTATTCAAGTTTTTACTAAAAATACCATTTTATTTCTACATCTGCAGAATGGCTAGTGATATGATTTGGTAGGTACATTTTGGTATGAATGAATAAAGGAATGTTATGGAAAATGTTTGGTTGGGGTTATGGGTTTTAAGCTAGTCTAAGGTCAGTTTCAAGGTTTCATTGAAATTTTTTATCAGAACAAAGTTTGCAAGGAATGCCCAGTGAGTGATTTATGATGGGCTTATTGTAGGAGGTCGGACAGCCAGAGATATACCCACCGACTGCATGCTGTCACATTTCACTTGTTTATTCTGAATTTACTGATCTTTAAAAAAAAAATCCTTTATCTGTTGCAGAACATTGCTTGTATATTGAGAGAGACCACCATGGGAAGAGCAGCATTAAGGAACATCAATGCTACAAATCTCTGCAGCAAAAGGGACCGGCATACTGTTGTGGATATGTTGACTCAGTACCTGATACGGGAGTATGGTACCAAGCCAAGCTCATTTGTGAAGGCATCAATGGCCCATGCCATTGTGACAAGCTTTCCTTTCTTAAAAGATCCAGAATCTCCACTTGGCTATGTAAGTCCTGTCCATGAATTGCTTTCCTTAATATATGTGACCTCAGGTATGGCTCAGATCACCACTTTTTTCTGGACTGATTTATGGATTGATTCTTACCACAGCGGGCATTTATTACTTGGAGGTGCCTTAATTCTTAGGCTGTCCATCCATACCTCCATCTGTCCCTACCCCATAGACCCCATTTACAAGAAAGTGAAATTTTATGAGAAGTTTCTGTTTGAGCCAGAAGCAATAAGCTACTTTAAGGTCTAAATCAAATAAATTATGTGTTTATGCAATAACTTTTGGAATACTGGATCATATTATTTTGTGTAACTTGCTATGAAGCTTCCTCAATTTTGTTATTCTTGTATTTATTATATTGGAGATGCTCAATCAATTGCATGTTGTATCACATTATCACAAGCATTATAAGAGCATCTCTGGCAATAGTAAATTTGACAGTAGACAGGCCTGAAAAGCTTACAAATAATGAAAAGCTAATATGGCATCAATCACTAAATCATGCAATATTTTTGTTTATTTTTATACCACTTGTTTATAAGTTATATTATCCAGTAATGACACATCTCTTAATATTTAGACTTTTGTCTGCATGCCATTGAGTAATGGATATTCACAGAATTATCCATCATTCACTTTGTTTTTGCAATGACTTGATGACATTGCTGGAATATAACAGTGTGCAGTTAGAAATAGGTACTTAAGAGGACAAACCTTGTTATTGCAAACACTGACATATGTAACAAAATATGTAAATGTACAGTTTACACTGGAATTTTATTGTGCTTTTATTTGATTATTATTAATGTTTAACAAATGTTGTTGAGCATTACTGTTTTTGAAGTTGAATTATGAAGGAATTTTAATTTATTTGAGCAGGAGGCCTGGTACTGCGTGGGGGCCAAGGGACGGCCAGCAACAGGCTACCTGGAGGAGCATCTGAGGTATGTCAGAAAAAAGGAGAAGTCCCTGAGGGTACCAGTAGCTGAAGACGAGGCAGAGTCTCAAAAGCAAGGTATTCTGGCTACTTTTTCATATAGTTAAAGTTATGAGTTATTCAGATCCGTCTGATGAAGTCATGCTGTGCCATAACAAACTGGTGGGGCATGAGCAATGCCAACTAAAACCCCCCTTCCAATACAATCATCAAAAACTTGTTGATACATGCTAATTGTTGATTGTTCTGTTGCATTATATCCAGGAGATACTGATCTTGAGTCTGTGAACGATGATAACATCACGACAATGGAAGAATGGCTGCGTAACAACAAGGAGCCAGAGGACATGGTGAAGGACTACATGAAACAAACAGCAACAAAAAGACATGACTGGATCAAGAGAAGTGACTGTTGTGTGAAGAACATTCTTACCACATATCCCAGACTTCTCGATGCTGGAATGGTATGTGGACCTTGATTTTTCTTCTGCATGTGACAAGAAAGGACATTAAATTAAACTAGAGTCGCATGTTTTGAGAAGTAACTTTTTTGTTTTTTGGTTGCATGGGCAGGTTTACTTTAGCAGTCTCCTTAAAGGGATCGTTTAACAATCTGAGATACACGGTCCTACAGAAATCGTGCATCCCTATTGAACCGATAATTGTTAGTGTGTATCATTCAAATCCTTGCAAAATGGTAAAGAGAAGATGCAAATGAAAGATATCCTACCTTTCATCTGGCTTCTATAACTATCCTAACAATTACAGATTGAAGGAGATTTTGCAGAATTGTTCCCAGAGAAAGCAAACGCACTGTACCAGAAGTGGCCCACATTCTGTAACAAAGTAGTGGACTTCACCGAGAAAACTGGCAACTGGAGAAGTGCAAGAGCCGAATTCGAAAACATTCATGACCCTGGGAAACTCAGTCTTGGTATGTGGTGTCAGAACACACATTTGACAGTATTAGTGAAAATGACTTGAGAGAAAGTCAAAAGAATTTATTTCAATTACACTATATGATGTTTATTTTTGTGGCCAGGACCAAACATTGAGTCTAATATCCCCCCTGTAAAGGCCCGGTCACACAGGGAGGACGCATGGGGAACGCACGGCCAGCGCATGGGAAATTTGCAAGTTTGGCCAGTGCGTTGTCGTGCGCCCAACTTTTGACACCAAATGCATAGCGTGTTGCTAGCGCGCTGAGCGCATACAGGGCGCATACAGTACGCATACAGACCGTACCCAGAGCGCACATGATAACAAATTCCACGAATGCCCAGCGTGTTGCTAGCGCGCTGGACGAATGGTCCACGCATGCACCGCGTTCTACGACGCACGGCCAGCGCATTGGAAATCGGAAAAGGCCGTGTGCCTAACTTTTGTCATGATTTTGGAAAAGCTAGCGAGCTGACACAAAATGCACAGCGTGTAGCTAGCGCGCTGTGCGTATACAGGCCGTGTGCCCCGCGTATGTCTGGCGCTGGTCTAGCGCGCTCAACGCACGTCTGGCGTGCCTTTGGCGTGTACATTCATGCGTCGAGCTCCGCGCACACTTTTGAGCATGCTCAAAAAATCCCGACGCACACAGCGAATGACGACGAATGCATAGCGCTGGTCCAGCGTTGGTCCAGCGCGCTCGACGAACGAGGAACGAGTGATGACGCACGCCTAGCGAACGACAACGCACTGGCCAAAATTGGAAATTTTCCATGCGCCGGCCGTGCGTCCCGCATGCGTCCCCTCTGTGTGACCGGGCCTTAAGGAATTGAACTGAAATAAATAAAAGTGCTCTGAAACATATAATACATGTACAACATATGATAAAAACATGATTCCATGACAAAGGTTTAGCATACTTTTACTTGCTTGTTTTGTTTGTTTGCTTTTTGGGGTGGGGATGGTGGTTTAAAGCTCATTGGGAAGGCTATGCTGAAGTTTGTGCGATTTTGATTTCTTTACTCAGAAAGCTGAGCTCCAAATTACTGACTGACATTTACGTTGAGTGATTTTACCCATATTTGTAGAAAATAATTGTTGTATTCGACCGTTTTTTTTTAATTTGCTGTATATAACTGTACATTTTGTAAGATGTTCCATAATTGACCTGTTTGCTGTTGCACCTTTTCTTCATATGTAATTGGGACTTAATTACTTAACTCTTTCATTGTTTCCCTCTTTTTAGAGGAAAAGAGCAATCTTGGATTCTACATGCTCCCAGTCTTGTTCCGAGGAAGGAAAGATTCCAAGAGAGGAACGTACACCACTGCAGAAACATTGTCGTCCTTCATTGACGTTCAACCAGTAAGTATATGTGCTGGGGAGGTGGTAAAGTAATGACATGTAAGGCATATATTTTGGTTTGTGTTTAAAATCTTGCCATAGTAATCATATTTCATTACAAACAAATTCAATAGTTAATTTGTTAAGAGTTTCAAACCTAGGACAACTGATGAAATTGAGGTTGAAATGCAATACCTATGTTCTTACCAGATAAGGCATTGCCATAACATTTTATTTGTGTAAAACTTGAAAAGCAACCATTTTCAAGTTCCTAGTAATGGGCACGCTGGTCCCCAAGGAGGCCCTGCAGGGGCAACACTAGGCGCTTTAATCTTAATAAGTCAGTTCGTCATTATCTGTGGTACAACTACAAATGGCCTCAGATTTGTCATCACATCGCATTTCACTCATGAATGCAAGCAAGTCCTTTAACCTGCAAATGACATGTGAAAAATGCATGCTTATATTAACAGGCTGTATATGCCTTCCAGCTTAGTTGATGTAATGCTCTGAACGTGACCAGTTTGGGTACAGTTGACCTTTGCCGCAGGGATATTTAAGAATACCCAGTAATGTTTTGATGGGACAGGGATGAACATGCATAAACAAATTTGGGTGTCCTGTAGGTGATTGTGGATTCATAAGCAGAAGCATTCGACAAGCATCAAATATATATATATCAATCCATATAATTACAAATGATTTCTTCTTGATTTCTCTTTGGACTACAGGAGGTTCTCGACATCCAGACTTATGTTGATAACATTGATGAAGCAGTCAGGTCACAGCCATTTGTTGTTGTGCGTGGGAACATTCTCACACCAATACAGGCGTACGTCGTAGTAGAGAGGAGGATACTTCCTGCCGCAACACTGCTTAAAGCAGTCGACTTGTGCTTTAAGGCACTTTATGTGATGGATATCGAATATCAGCCGCAAAGCTGTTCTGTTTGGAAATTTCTCCAGATTGTGGTGTTCCAGTTTACCGATGGGGAGCATCTTACACCAAAGCTGCGGGAGGTCCGAGCCTTCATGAACATGCCATAAGCCATCATGATGTGTTCACGCCAAGGATGATTACTGGTGATATATTTCCTACAGATGAAACTGACACATCATCGTTTAGCACATTTTGGCTACTTGAACCAGTTTATTTTGGGAGAAAAAAAACTGGAAAAAAGTATTATTTTGGACAAAATAACCTTAAAGACAAACTGTTATGAGTTGGATTCAGCACATTATTTTACATAATTTAGACATGTTTGTGTAAGACTGAAGATTTGAGGGTGGGGTGAGGATCGCTGAATAATATTAAAAAAAGAGTGAATTTATACACAGCAGAAGTCTTTGTGTACATTTTAAAAATGATAAAGGCCTAATTGTTTTATCCCAATCATTGCTTAACATCCCCACCTTGAAAGTTTAAGAAAACAAATGAATATATGCCAAGTATAAATACAAAACATATTATTGGCTATAAATCTTTTGCACTGGCGTATACAAATGCTTATCGTGTTTGGTCTTAATCCCAAGAGTACTGTTTCATAACTCGTACATCAAAATGATATATTTCTTCATAAAACATGAGCTATGATATTTTCTGCGTTTAAAACAGCAAGTGGGGTATATGATTGTAAATTACATATACCATTAATTTTCATGTAATGTGTATCGTCCATTGACCCTACGCTGAACTCTCTGCTGAATGGACTGCATGCATTAATTTACATCGCGCAAAGCAGAAGTAGAGAAGTCAACATTTTCATCTACATTTTGCAAAATTGTATTGATATTATTGATAATATCAATAAAATCAATCAAACTGAGTATAGCAGGTAGGGTCAATTGATTTTTGTTGTCTTTAATCTAATCAAAAAGTTATAGTAGGCAGTGTGTATCCTTGTTATTTGATCAGTACCTGTTCACCATCACAGATAGCCAAACTTTCATGTGGTACTTCTGCACATGTCAAATAATCTAGAGGGATTTGAATTTATTTCCTCTTTTTTTTTCACTTCAAAAAAATGTGTGCATGTGTAACACTCTAAGGCAGAGTATTGGTGTGTCAGGATAAATGAACACTATGCCACACCCACAAAATATATATGATGCACATATTCATGTATGAAATCAGAGTACATGGGATACATACAGTGTACATCAAAGTTGTCATGCTGCACCAAAAGGGGCTATATTTGCATTTACTTTTTTTAAAAGGTTGTATTTTTTTCACCAAAAATTGTAATGTTGTAGTTGATGTTAACAAGTTTTGTTTTTACGTTTCTGATGAAAACAACAACATGTGTTTACTGTGTATGTTATTTGTGTTTCAGTTAAGCAATTATTACCCTTTAGATGAGAAAAAGAGTTGAGCAAATAGATGTTATGGTAAAAATGTTGAGCAATGATTATCCAACAGACGAATTAAAGAGTTGGGCAAATGGATATTGTGGAGAAATAGTTGAGCAATCATTACCCAATAGATGGTTGTTTTGATAGTTGGGCAAATGGATATTGTGGAGAAATAGTTGAGCAATTATTACCCAATAGATGGGTGTTTTGATAGTTGGGCAAATGGATATTGTGGAGAAATAGTTGAGCAATTATTACCCAATAGATGGGTGTTTTGAGAGTTGGGCAAATGGATAATGTGGAGAAATAGTTGAGCAATTATTACCCAATAGATGGGTGTTTTGAGAGTTGGGCAAATGGATATTGCGGAGAAATTGTTGAGCAATTATTACCCAATAGATGGGTGTTTTGAGAGTTGGGTAAATGGATATTGCGGAGAAATTGTTGAGCAATTATTACCCAATAGATGGGTGTTTTGAGAGTTGGGCAACTGGATATTGCGAAGAAATTGTTGAGCAATTATTACCCAATAGATGGGTGTTTTGAGAGTTGGGCAAATGGATATTGTGGAGAAATAGTTGAGCAATTATTACCCAATAGATGGGTGTTTTGATAGTTGGGCAAATGGATATTGTGGAGAAATAGTTGAGCAATTATTACCCAATAGATGGGTGTTTTGATAGTTGGGCAAATGGATATTGTGGAGAAATTGTTGAGCAATTATTACTCAATAGATGGGTGTTTTGAGAGTTGGGCAAATGGATGTTGCAGAGAAATTGTTGAGCAATTATTACCCAATAGATGGGTGTTTTGATAGTTGGGCAGACTGGGAGTTGGGTAAAAACTGGTTGGGCATTTAATTAACCAACATTAAACTTACTCAAAAGTTGGGCAAATAGAAGGTTGGGCAATATCTAACTGGGTAAAATTGGTTGGGCAAGAAATTACCCAACTGAAAATATAACCAACTGTTAGGCAATTGTAGAGTTGGGTAAAATATGATGGGTCACCAACTGATGGGCAATTTAATTTGCCCAACCACATAGCAAACTGATTACCCAACATCAGTTGGGCAGATTTTAACCAATAGTTGTGTGGACCGTATGTTGCTCAGTGTTGGTTAAAAGTTGGGCATTTTTTTGCCCAACTATTTTAAGTGTGTATGCTTCGTACATGTTTATCGTATGATATAATTGTACATGATTTTTCATTTTTCATTACTCTTGTAAATATTTTATTAATTTTATTTGTTATTGTTCGAAATTTTGTACTTTGAATTTGAATTTGTATATTTGTGAACGCAGAAATAAAATAAATCAAACAAACAAACATTGTTGTATGTATTGGAAGTTAAACTTGTCCAAATTGAGTATTTTAAAATAAATAACGAACTGACCTGGGTCCTGTTTCATACAACTTTTTTTCAATGACAAATTTGCTCTTAGCCAATCGAATGCCAGGATTTCGACTTATTATTAATAATTGATGACAAAATAACAAAATTCACATTTTTCATCGATTTTGAATGTTATTATTTTTTATTTCACTGTCATGCTTTTGATGACTTTTTATACATGATTTTAAGGGAAAATGCAATAATTATGTAAATTCCCACAATGGATTTCCATGTCATTATTGGACGAAATAAAATTGAATTAGGAAGCAGGCCCATGGTTCCTTCTTTGTCTTTTAATGTGAGCACTTGAAGAGAACTTGAGAACCTGAAAATATGAGAAAGGAAGTGTTTGGAAATACGAGAAACTGAAAACTAGTAATCTGTTTCCATTTGAGGAACTTCCAAAAGATAGCTAATGGATTGAAAAGGATTTTCCTCTTAAAGCTAGGAAATTAAAAACAATTTATAGTATGTCAAATGACATTAACATCACCACTCTCGATCCCCCTTCTTTAATAGAGCCCTTGCGATTTTTTTTTAATTCTAGTTATGATCGCTACTATCCGCATCAAAATATTTATTTCCTGATTTCTTGATCGAAATTCTCCATAGCATTATAGTGTGCTAGATATCTTAATTCTTCCTAGAAAGGATATGTTCTCTCTATATATGTAATTATATCAGGCTGACGGGAATTTTCGAAACCTCGAACCCCACCACTCCACCCCCCCCCCCTCCTCCCCCCCCCCCCCCCCCCCCTTTGTTACACGTACGTAAATGACTGAATGTTATCGGAAGAGAAAAAACATGATATGGATAGATAGAGAGATGTATTGGGAAAGAAAGGGAATGAGAGGGGAGGAAGATTGTGGAGGAGATTGAGAGAGAGAGACGTATAGATGATGGAGGTGGAGAGGGAGAGAGAGAGAGAGAGAGAGAGAGCAAGAGGGAGGGAGAGAGAGAGAGAGAGAGAGAGAGAAAGAGGGAGGGAGAGAGAGAGAGAGAGAGAGAGAGAGAGAGAGAAAGAGGGAGGGGAGGGATAGAGAGACAGAGAGTGAGAGCAAGAGGGAGGGAGAGAGAGAGAGAGAGAGAGAGAGAGGGAGAGAGAGAGAGAGAGAGAGAAAGAGGGAGGGGAGGGACAGAGAGACAGAGAGAGAGAGAGCAAGAGGGAAGGAGAGAGAGAGAGAGAGAGAGAAAGAGGGAGGGAGAGAGAGAGAGAGAGAGAAAGAGAGAGCAACAAAAACACTTAACATGCAGATTTATATCAGATAAAGTTTTATTCTTAAAACTTTCATGATTTTTATTTTTTATCTTTGTTCAAGGTTCAACTTCATTTGCACATTTTTTTAGACAAAAATAGCATGAAGCACGATAAAAACTAACATCATCCGTACAAAATACTTTGGAGTATATTTAAATGATCAAAAACATTAAACAATATTACTAAATGCACGTACCGTTCTTAAAGGAAATGACAACAGCATTAGCAGAAAAACCAGTACATGATCTGTAAAGTTATATTTGTCAGTATTAGCACTTGAAATGCATCAAATCGAATTTTCCGTTGTCACTCGGTTTCGTACAAATTGCAGTAGCTGCTTAATAACGCAATGGCTCAAGATGAAAACAGAATAAAGATACCGACACTAATTGTAAACGATAAATTGAACAAACATGACTGGAAGGTAAAATCATAACATGAGTTTTTTCTCGTGTTTGCATTTCTCTGGAGCACATTTTTACTTTACATTGTACATTGCGAATATTATTGATAAATATTTTAACAAGGGTAATACACAACATATAGACCTACGGCAATTTCATGAGCTTTCTTCGTCACCTAATGAAATGTTGGAACTTTACACTGACATATCACAAAATTAAAACACGAGAGGGGTAGAAATCAATTAATGTATGGATCATAATTAGGATCACTTCGTCTTGGAGTTAAATCCATTTTAACATTTTCTTTATATACCTCAAGCTTCAGTTGAGTATAAGCTTAAATGTTAATAGCGCCACCTTGTGATAATATGCCACACATTGCAAATAGAGATACGTCACTTGGTTAAATTATGTCTCGACAAATGAAGTTTTTATAATGTAACTTGATGCCAAGATTATTATACAAAATTCTGTGGCATTCGATCTAAAACTGAGGGATCCTTTAAAAAAAGGCTCCAATAGGGTTGAATTTCTCACCTGTACATTTTACAAAATAGAAAGGCTCTCAGTGACATAATCCTGAAACAAATTTGCAATTACAGTAATGGTAAATATAGTATTCATATCCGATGATGAATAGAAAATTGAAGGCCTATTTTAGACCTAATGTACACACAACTCTTGTAACGTATTTCTACACAAAGTACATAAACAAATGAATTCGTTGTGCGATTTTGTTTTTCTTCGTATGTTCGATTTCTCTAAACTTGAGACAAATTTATAAACTGAACAAAAATCTCCAATAAACATTTAATGCAGACAGATAAGAAATGAATTCTGTCCGATAGTAATAAATGGGGTTGGCAAAAACCTTTACAAAACATTGTGATTACAATTTTTGGAAAAGTAATTTTATACAGCCATACAATCACATAAATACATGTTTACATTGAATAGTTTAATATCTGCAAACTGATCGTTTTAAAATGTATATTTTACACAATTTGATTAATTTGCATAATTTTAATCTGTTGTATAGTTTTGTTCCATGTCAGATAAAGAAATTGTCCTCCATAAAATAAATGATTATACAAATATATATACATTGTTGCTTTGGTACTATAGTATGACGACATTGTGGAGGTTTCTGCGTTCATATAGTCGGAAGTAGTAAGAATTTTGGTCTTCTGAGAATTTGCCGATATTTCTTTTTCACCTATTATCTCTCCTTATTTTGTACCCTTCCTGTCCTGCTTTGTTCTTCGTCATTTAATTGGGGGCACCCCCCCCCCCCCCCAATTACAGTACACCATTCCAGCTCACCTTGTACACTGTAGCTTCACCATTGTTTTGTTTTAAAAACTGTATTAACACATTCAGTCGTAGACGTTTCAATTCTCGAATCCAATGCACTTTCTACAAAAAATCCAGGAGATTACACATTCATCTAAATTTCCCACTTTCCACCCAGGTGTAAATGAGTACCTAATATGCTTGTCCGCTATTTGATTTGGCGAGATATTTAAGAAAAAGTAGGAAAAAATAAGATGATAGAAGGGAGATTAGAACGGGAGAGTTAATAGGTAAACAGTGATAGAAAAACAAAGAAAAGGATTGAGGGATAGAGAACAAAATAATGAAAAGGCTCGATGAGAAGAATTCAAGAAATTGAAAAATTGGAAGAAGAAAATAACTTATAAATAACAAAGTGGGTGTAAAAACAATTTGTGAAACAATAATACAGCACATTCATAACACAAGGCGAAAATCAAAGGCAATCGAAAGATGAGTGCAACCTAAACAGGGCGACATGTTATAATTCTTAAAGGACGCCCTGAAAGATGCTAAAGACATGGCATGTCTCTTTTTTATTTTAACATTATTCACTCAAAACATTGTATTTTGTAGTAGATAATCATCCCCACAATCACATTCCCCAAATCTGGTAACGCGTAAATAACTCAGAAAACTCAGAAAATTAATTATGTCCATTCGGGTAGTTTTTGTTTCACACGACATTTTCTCTTAGTTTTTTTGCCTGAAGCAAAGGTAAATTTCATGCTTATGCTGTTGGTTCGGTTTTAGGTGACGCTAATTAATCCCTTGTGGTTAGCAGGAGATCACTTTTACGCCACTCTGCAGTAAGAAATAAATATAATACCATACACACATACTACAGGCAGCGGTTATATCCAAGCTTGTTGGGTATGCGCGTGAAGTTGCTGCGCTTCCCTCCTCCCGATCCTGTCAAACACAGCCGGAAGTGCAGCCTTGGGTCTCAGGTTTTGCTCCAGTCTGATGAGCGCCCTCTGGAATCCTTCTCGGAAAGTCACTTCCGGTTTGATCTTGGTGATATGGCCATGTGCCTGTTTGAGTGTCATGCCCATAACCTGGATCATATACTGGGTAGTGATAGTCGGCGCCAGGATGAGTCCTGTTACGCAGTATATCAGCACCCGGCGGTTCGACTTACGAGCGCCCTCTATGAATCGATTGACTTCATCAAAGTAGTGGCTGATGCCGTCTCCGACGGTCTCATCAAGATGTAGGTTGAGGCGAATGCGGGTGTGCTTCATGGTAGAGGCACAAAGGCACGGGCAGTCCTTGAGGCGAATAGTCCGCTTAACTTGCTCACCGGATAGATTACTCAAGTCTATGATGTATTCGATGTTGAGGCGACACAGCAGAGGCTCTCGATTCGCTGCCTCAAGATCTCCCATGTAAAGGAAGTCCAGAATCTCTGTCACGTTTTGGTCCTTGTAAAGAGTTTTGTCTATTTTGATTTCAGGGATGATTTTGCTTGGGTCCACTTCCTCCCCATCGCATGAAATGTTGTCGTTCTCTGAAAGCGACCTGCAGCTGGAGGTAGATGATTTCTTGCGCATCCTGCGCGTCGTGAAATGGATCATCACCGGGCTCACGATCCCCTTGTCCGATAACGTGGGGGACGCCCTCTGCGACTGTCCATGGCGACTGTAGAACTCTGCTTGGGATGACTGCTGTTCATCGCTGAGGGACACGGATAGATGCAGCCTGTTGTGCATGGTGGGTGACTTGGCTCGGTCTTGGACGTGAAAGAGGTTCGGACAAGAAGCGTATCCAAAGGCAGAAGGATTGGCCTTTCTGATGTCGGTTGTACCCTGCTCCTCGAGAAGACTGGAGTCACCTACCCGGGAGCGAGGCAGCCCGTATGATACCTGTGATCGACTGCGGGAGCGAGGAATGTCAGAGGGTCTAATGTTCATCGTTCATTGTGATCTGAAACATAATTTAAACAAAACAGAAAATTAATCTCATGTTATAGAGTAGGCTTGTGGGTGCACCATGTGAGAGAGAGGGAGGATTGAGGAGTCCTGAGAAGGACTCTCGGTAATCTTTCTTGAGGGTGTGTAGTCCTGAAAAGGACTGTTGGTGTAGTCTTGAAAAAGGCTGCTGGTTATCTTTCTCATGTTGTACAACTTTAAAACAACATGTGTACTCCATACAGTAGTTAACAGGGAATTGTCATCAGTATTGCCACTGTTCTTCCTGAGTACCGTACAATTATTACTAAACAAGCAATTGCCATGTACCCATTTAAACCTGGTCGGAAAGCGGCAAATATGGATTAATGTCTAACCAACTGACATTAGAGTCGGGCTGGGATTCGAACCCTCAACACGTGGATCGAGAGTCAAGTGAATTATAACCACCATGAGGCCACGTCTGACATGAATACATCCCCCCTCCCCCAAAAAAGAGAAAAACTGAAAGACTGAAAGTACTGTATAATACAAACATGTATTTTATAATCATTATTTCTTGATTTACTTTGTGTTACAGTGACTGTCGGTTCGCCTTGACGGGATTTAATCTGACGTGAAATAGAATGACGTCATTGACGTTCAAGTTTCCGGTTTTCTTCTATTTTCCCTTTAAGTTATGATATGGAGGGCGTGGCGAAAAAAAACATGACAGTCGGATTAAAACTATAAGGAAGAAACGTCGCTATCAGCATGATTGGGGACAAGAATGACAAACAGGATTGGTAAATCAAATAAAAATAGCAGATGCGAAAGAAAAAGGAACGGTACATTTGACACAAACCATGGAAATTAGCCTGCTTCAACTCAGCTGTACTTTTAACCAGAAAAAGATACGCCCATGATTGACAAGATATTCAATTATATTATTGTACTAATGGTAGAGGGGAGAGAGATAGAGATTGGTAGAGAGATAGAGACAGACAGACAGAGAGCAGATAATGGGGAAGAGAGAGAGGGGGAGAAGAGGATAGATTGGTAGAGAGATAGAGGCAGACTGACATAGAGATAGAGCAGAAAATGATAAGAGAGAGAGAGGGGGGGGGAGGGGGACATGATTGGAAGAGAGAGTGGGTCAGGGAGACAAACATATATGGAAGATAATCGGCAGAAAGATGGAGAGAGGGGGAGAAAAGGGAAGATAGATTGATAGAGTGAGAGGGGCAGATGTACAGACATACAGAGGGCATAATGGGCAGAGAGGGAGAGAGGGGAGTGAGAGGGGGAGTGAGAGAAAGAGGGGATATATTGGTAGACAGACATACAGGCATATAGGGTTAGGGTTAGGGATATAGAGAAAGAGAGATTAAAATAGAGAGAAAGGGTGGGGAAGAGAGAAAATGAGAGAGGAATAAGACAGGCAGACAGCGAGAGAGTGAAAGAGAGAGAGAGAGAGAGAGAGAGAATTGGAGAAAGTGAAGAAGAGATATATTGGAGAGGAGATAGAGAAAAGGCGTTACAGAAATTAGGACTGAGAATGAGAGAGATGTAAAGAGAGAAGAGAGAGAGAGAATAAAAGGGGAAATAGTGAAGAGAGAGAGGAGGAGAGGCAGTGAGAGAGAGGAAGAGAGGCAGTAAAGAAACCGGTGAAGAATGACTACTCCGTGTTCAAGCATAGCAGCCGAATCATCATCATATCATACCATCATACTTTTTGGACTTGTATATTTCTCATGACTTTCATTCCAATATATGCAATTTTCGGTAGGATGCGAAAGCTAATGTGGTTAGATTAGCAAGTGTGCGCTTGTGAAAAAGATGCCTGGCTGGAATGCTCCCCAGGGAGTGGAGAATGTGCATACATTGTGTGCGGGTAAGCCTGAATCCTATGACCAGGGTAATAATATATATATCTGTAAAGTGATTTGAGAGGGCCTTCGGTCCTAAAAAGCGCTATATAAGAACTAGCTATTATTATTATTATTAATGCATACGTCTTTGCGAAGTACCTCAATACGAATGATTCCATTCCCCTGTCACGAATAATTGTATTCAATAGTCAGAATGCAAATTGCATACATTACGTGTTGTTAGGTAGGGCAAGACATTGGCCCGAATTCACAAAGGAGGTTTGTCGACAAACCTTGGTTTTCGTACGTCATATGACGCGTTTTACGCGTTTTTTTTACAAACCTGGTTTGTAAAGAACACAAGGAGGTTTGGCGAAACAAAAGGAGGTTTGAGCTCAAACCGTGGTCTGAGCTCAAACCTTGCTTTGTGAATTCGGGCCGACATGTTTGTCCTACCTAGCAACAACTAATGTATGCAATTCGCACTCTGACTGTTGAGATACTTCGTAACAGTTGAATGAAATAATTTGTAACGAGGCACTTCACACAGACGTATGCATTTAATTTGATCACATTTCGAAAATGACCTGTTCAAGCCTGCAAAATAACCTTCACCTTCTTATACGTTCTGAGTCATCATTTGAAAAATGTAGTTTATCTCAAAACAGAACACTGTATACCGTCGCTACACGTGTTGCACAATAATTATTGTTATGCTTGTATATCAACGTGCTATACAGTTGCATCGAAGTTTTATTTTTCTAATTCTCTCTCTCTCTCTCTCTCCCTCTCTCGTTCGACGCCATGGACAGTCTCATTCTGCATGTTACCATGGCAACCTTTACGCGTAGAAATGGATTCACTTTGCTCAGTATTCCTTCAAGCTCTAATTAGAGAATTTTTTTGTGAAACTGGATGTCTCAAAATACCACAGACACTAACAAGGTTATGATTTTATTTAATCCGCATTTTTTGTATAATTACTTCTATATTAGGTAGCATCAAGGATATTGATTTATAATTAGCCTCAAAAGCTGATAGAGACATTTTTTAAATTTCAAACCATGCCATTTGTTGTTTGGTATTTAATTTAATTCAAAGAAGGAAAAAGATACCGATATTATTTTGAATGATGCCCTTTTCACTATTTACAAAAGCTTTGTTAGGAAAGAATTAGAACAGAAAAGAACAAAACGGAGACTTCTTCATATTTGGTTTTACCATTTGAATTATCTTTTACAGTTAGAAGAAAACGTCCCATGTAGAAAACCATGTTTATCACTCCAAAAATGGATGCAAATGCTGAAAATGTGAAGATTTATAAATTATAATAAGGAAAAAAATAAGACTAGAAATGGTTAATTTACAATCCTCGACCTCGATCCGGCGCTTACGGCATGGTCAGCAATGATTTCATTCGATTTCCAGTTCTTGATCACGTAATATTTTCATATTTTACTTTGTGCCCTACTTAGAGTCCGAAAACATGCTGAAGCCCGTGAACATATACAAGTATAATGGCTTCCACGGGGGTGTGACACAATATGATAGTAACGTCGAAAAGAGGATGATAATCATTATGAGGATAAGCATAAATACATCTAAAGATCGACCCAGGCAATTTCTATAGGCTTGCATGTGCGTCATCTGTAGAATTTGGGAACATGACAATAAAGTATTACGTTATCCGAAAATGCTCTAGAGATCTGCATAAGTACAAGTTTGCCGACATCCCATTGAAATGCGTGTATTAAAGGTAAAGACCAGTTTTGGAAACGCACTCTCAAAAATGAAATGGAAGCTTTTATTACCAATCATGTGAAAGAATATGTTTTGACTAATGCGTCATGATACAAATTTTGCCGAGAAACCGCCTACTAATTGATATATTTGGTAAAATATTATATCTATTTGGACCTGATAGATATAATGCATTTGTCGTGCGCGTATCGCGTAGTCCCATATACATCTTTCTGTGTACTGTGATTGTAACTTTACCAAGACTGGGCCAAATTTCTTATCATTTTGATGATTCCAGAACCTTGCAGTACACACCAATACTTATATGCTAGATGATCAACCTTTTCTGATCGATTCCCCAACGTTTCTTTCACAATGCATTCGCATGACCCAAACTGGTCTTTATCTTTAAGTTTAACACGCATTTCATTAGGATGTCGGCGAACTTGTATTTATAACGGTTTCGTAAAACACTGCCCTAGACGGTAGAATAGGACAATTAAAATGCCCTTTGGGTCGGTTTCAGATTTGTTTGGGGGCGATCGTGTTTGATTTAATGGTATGTTATCAAAGGTATTACAAAGTTTTGGTATGGGGTCATGAATTTGGTTCAAATGAACATATTGGAAGCATAAATGACCCTACAATATTCAGTGATCATTGTCGCGGTTGAAATCGAGTCTAAATTTATGAAATTATAAATAATAAACTCTTTATGTTGTATAGCTCCCTCTCAAGGTCAAGACATTGATTAAGCTATAAAACCGATGAACACGTCCCACTGGAAACTGGAGCCCTGCACGGGATGAGCGCGTCTTTGCCTTGGTGCGGGCCTAGGCGTTGTGGCGTGCGCCTGTAATCCAGCTAACAGTGGAAGTTACAAACTGATTTAGCCGAGGACGCAGGTTCGAAACTGAGTCACGTCTTTCGGATGGTGACGTTAAAGGTCGGTCCCCAGACGTAAATAATCATATCTGATTGATACACGTCTGTAAAAACCCAATCACACACACACACACACACATATAAAAAAATATTTCTTGATTGAAATCGACTGATTAGCTATTTTCGTTTGGAAATTATATATCACAACTACATATTCTGAGATTTTCATGGTTGCAGCTACCATCGTACGGCCGTAGATGCTATAATTGAAATGTATATTACATTTTACCGGGAGCACCGGTAAATTTTTATATTCAATTTTTCTCAAAAGCATAAGTGTTTTAGAGGCTAAGTTTTCTACTGCCTATATTACATCCACATGCAGGGGTATCAAAATACATACAAATTGTAAGGAATCACTATCCACCCATTTTCAAAATTTCCCAACACTTTGTATTACCTTTAACTTGCTTTAGAGTAAAACATAAATATATGTTATATGCAAATCAAAATTTAATGCTGTATGACACTCAAAGAAAAA